TTTTTTTCATCCTCCTTAAAACCCCAAAAAAATCTTCTCCTTATAGATTCCAAAGTTTTTAAAACTGAGTTGGGCGCTTTGAACAGGGAAAAGAAGAACAGCGAAAGAGAAGATAACACCGACTGAATTAGAGTATGTCTTCCGCCTATGGAGAGGCAATGAGACTTCCAAATTGAAAGCTTTTTAAGGAATTTATCTTCTACGACAGACCATGAAGCTTTTTTGTTCATGTTACCTCCAACAGGAAGCCCCAGATAAAAGAAAGGAAAGGAAGAAGCCTTACAATTTAACATAACTGCCATATTATTGACTTCTGCCTCCAAGACACCAATACCAAAGAGATTGCATTTGGATAAATTAATGCGCAGTCCTGAAACATCATGAAAGCAGTTAAGAATATTAGTAAGAGWTACAAGATTTTTACGAGACCATTTTCCAAAAATTAGAGCGTCATCCGCAAATTGAAGGAGAGAAAGATTCCGGTTAGAATTCGCAAGCCGGATGCCCTTGAACAACCCCTGATTGCAAGCAGTCCTGATCATGATCTGTAAGACTTCCCCCACGAGCAAAAAAAGAAACAGAGAAAGAGGATCTCCTTGCCTGAGACCCCTTTTTATGCAAAACTCATCAGAAGGAGATCCGTTTATCAAAATAGAAGTGGAAGCCGATTTTAAGCAAACACTGATCCATTTCTCTCATTGTACTTTTTTTTATTAAAACATTGTACTTTTATTTATTTGTATTATAACAATGTATTTTTAAATTATTTCTTATTAAAACACTGTAGAGATGGTAATTTAAACCAAAAGGTTACTAAATGTCTTAATAAAAAGTAATTTAAAAATATATTGTTGTTAGAAGTAAAAAATGAAAGTATAACATTATAATAAGAAAATGTTATTTTGTGCATTTTGCCCTTAATTAAACCAAGACCCTTTTTCAATGAACTTTGTGTTGGATTCGTTTGTTGATATCGTAATAGTCTTTCAAATACATACAAAGCTCCACCAATTCTTTGGAAAGTGATGACCTTCGATAAGTTAGAATTATGCCTTTAAAGAAAAAGCCAATTCGTTACCGTATCGTAATATCTTGGATCACTAGTAAACCACGGATCATGGCGGCCATGATAAGGAACTACGGTTGTTTTTCGATTTCCCTGTTGTTAAATATTAAAATTTCGTATCGGTGTTCACTTGTAAATGTAAACAAAATTGGATTCTCTAATATCCAGGAACGGACCCATAAATTTTTTGGAACGGTGGCACAATTTGACTATAATAAAATATTATTGGAAAAAAATTTCAAATGATAACACTGTTTGACTTTAAGAAACAAATATACGGAATTTTTTTGTTCAATCGGTGGCACCATTTGACTAAGAAAATAACACTAACACGATTTAAACTTGGGTTTGAGGTGGAATAAAAGTCTTGCAAACCAATTCTACTAAATAAAACTTGTTCTCATTTTAGTTTCAAAATACATTTGATAGCACACAACAGATTAATACGATTACAATTTCATGAACCTAAACTTTTTTACCCTTCGATAAAGGAATAATACGGTGGCACGTCCCACCGTAACCGCCAAAGTAAATCCGTCCCTGTCAATGTCTATACATACTATATAATTTTTGTTGGACATCGGCTTCGTATGTAATTTTAACAATTAATAATAATAGTATTTAAAATGTTAATATAAAATTAGATATTTTAATCTTGTTACTATTCATGTTATCAGTTTTTAATTAATATGATTCTTTTTTTACCGTTAAAAGAGAAAAAGCTGGAGAAATTTTACTTTTTTCTGACCCGTGGTAGGTAAACGCCAGATGGAAAAGATTCCCTGCATGTAGATCCACGATACGGTCAACATTTTTTTTTGGAAGAGACTATTACTAATGACACCGCTAAGTTAGTTTTAATTATGGTTGTTTTTTTGTTTTTTGTATTTTTTTGTTATTATTACATTCTGTTTTATTATTATTTAAATGAAAATTTTAATTAATATATATTATTCATTTTATTTTCTGTTTTTTATTTGTTTATATTATATTTTAATTA